TGCACAAAAGTACATAATGGACAAATTAAATACCTCTAGGTTTGATATTGATATTGACCCGCTTCAGACCAGTTACCCACAACCCAGTCACCGCCACCTGCCTTGGACTGGCTGCCCACTCTACACTGAAGTCTCCTAACTATTACTACCTCCTAACTATTACTACTACTACTATTAATATTAGTAGAATAATAATTTTGTACATAGTTTGACCAGAGGAGGATGGGTCCCCCCATGTGAGCCTTGGTTCCTCCCAAGGTTTCTTCCTCAACTGAGGGAGTTTTTCCTTGCCACTGTCGCCCCTGGCTTGCTCACCTGGAGGATTTACATTTCATGTTGAAACTTTGTTCTAAATGGATTTCTGTGAAGCTGCTTTGTGACAACATCAGTTGTAAAAAGCGCTATACAAATAAATTTGATTTGATTTGATTTTGATTTGATATTACATTTAGTTGTCAAGGCATCTGTTTACTTTTCTGCTTTCCTGTTTTCTGATGCTGAAATATGAATAACACAGTAAATGAATGGCTGTTTTTACTGGAGATTAACACCTCAAAATTCCAGGCTTATTACATATTGAGGCCTATTATTCAGTAACTATAGGGACTTCAATGCAAACTGGCTGAGATATTCATAGGTTATTGGAGTGTGTAATAAAACTTTGGTAATTTAAGGGGTTGAATAAATGACTTTTGCACAGTATTGTATATCAGACTATGCTATGCTAAGTTCTTCTAAGGTCTTTTGTTGTTAATATCACTGATTTTGAGAGTGCTTAGTCCCTCTGTCTTGCATATTTTAGCGCTTTTTTCTGCTCTAACCTTCACATTATAACTACACGAAGGGCCTATCATTGAGTAAATGAGCTGGATTAGGTTTGTTTAGAGCAGAAAAACACTAAAACAGACAAGACAGAAGCTGTATAAGACAGCACTGCTGTAAGGTGTGCTTTACCAACACTGAAGGTTTTACTCATGCTGTAATAACAGGGTGAAAACTGATCTTCTCAGTTTCATGTCTCGGCACAGCCTGTATAAAAATGTTTCTTTATTTATTCTTCTTATTTATTCTGCTCATAAGACATTACCATCTTTACTGGCAGTGGAGGATTTTCATGTCCTTGCCGAACTGTCATGTCCTTGCAGTCGAGAAGCTGTTTTGTCTGTTTCTCTTTAACACAGCGCAGAGAAAAGTCAGCTTGGCAGAGAAGCCGGATGTCTTTATTTATTACCTTAAATGTAACTTATTTATAAAGCTGAAAAAGAATGGAATTCTCGGGTGAATTCATCCTGAATTATTTAACCTGAAATCGTTAATTCCACACAAGGCTGCGGCGGATTCCTCCTCTGTTCTAATGAATACTTTATCATCATCATCCCCAGCTTCAAACCTGAAAAATAAGCAAGAGCTTATCTGCCTTAACTGCTATCACTATGGGCTACGGTGAGTCATATTCTAGTTTTTAATGTAATATTATCTTCAAATTCCGGTTTGAATGCTGCTTTAATTCATAGGACATTACAAATTTGCCAACTACCGGAGTTGCCTAAAACCAAATTCCAGTAAAAGTAGTTTTATTTCAATGTTACTTAAGTGAAAATCATATCAGGTCCTCCAGCACTGAGTTCCCTACAGAACCGCAGTGGAACTTCTTAGTACATCCACTATCTACCAGCACAGGAGCTGAAGTTTGTTTGGCTCTGTTCTTCCCCTGTTGGGATCCTTTTGGTCTGAAATAAAATGCTGATGTGAAACATGAGAGCTAAGCAGTCCAGGGGCTGAACCAACACAACAGAATGAAATGAAACCCAAGAAGAGATTTGGGAGATGAAGTTAAATGCGAAGTTGATTGTGGCTGGGTAACAAATACATTTCTTTCCATATAAATATGCTACTTAGACACATACAAGTCCATCAAAAACATACTTAAATACATTAAATACATTACTGCCCACTTCTCATCGTCACAGCAATGGAACAGTGACTTTTAATAGCGACTGAAAACAACCTGAGTTAAAAAGCTTCCCTCCAGGAGAGTTCTCTACAGACCTGCAGTGGAACATCTTACATCCAGTGTCTATCAGTGCAGGAACTAAAGATTGTAAGGCTCGATTTTCGATCCTTTTGGTCTGAAATAAAACATTAAAGCTCCAAAGTGAGAGATGTGAGCAACAACAAAGCAGATCAGGAGGTGATCTAAGGAAAAAGAATGAAAAAATATGTATGATAAAACAAATCCACAATAAGAGAAGTAGGCGCTAAATGAGGAGTTGAGTGCAGATGAATAACAAATAAAGTCCTTTCCCTATAAATATGCTTGAGTATGAGAAAAGGTACAAATCCATCAAATATTTACTTAAACCCATCAAACTAAATGTAACTACTGCTCATCATGAATGGTATGTCTTCAAACCTACATACTACAACTCTTTTTTAAAAAGAATTCATTATATGGGCCCTTTGAAGGGAAATTCCACCAGGTTTTTGAAATTTCTGCATAACTGAATGGTAAGATGTAAACAGTCATTCTGTGTAGTGTGGTGTGAAATGCTCTGTTCTAGAGAAACTTACAGAACAACAGAATTGTTCACAGTGGTGGTGATAGTAACCAGATATCATATGAAGTTTATTTATAATTCATTATTTTAATTATGATCTATTATCATTATTGCTTGAACGGGTTACACATGGGCTGCCTGATGCCTGAGACACTGATTAATGATAGTGTTGAGACAAACTTTTGGCCTAAAACATGTACGTCCATGTACCAGTCATGGTACGGAGGGGTACATGCAGGGCATTGTTGGGGAAAACAGTTAGCTATTTACACGTTTGACATTGCAGCCCCTGTTTTATATCACCACTGCTGTGAAGAAAATCCAAGTCTGTAAATTTTATCTACAGTACAGCATTTCACATTAAACATTATCAATGATTTTGTTTACATCTTAACAATTAAATGGCACAATCCCCCTTTAAATAAATGGAAATAAGACAATGTAATTCATTTCTAGCCATGTCTGCAGCATGGAACTACTAAAAACTCAAACTGTAGTGACAGAAAAACAGGATCTGGATAAATCTACTCCTTCAGGAATCAACATAGATTACTTGACTAGGCTGTTTCTCTCTCCCCGGAGGTGGTGAGATGTTCTATTGGTGGACAAACTGATTGCTTTTGGTGCCTTTGGTCGTCCCTTATCAATAGAAATGGCCTCTGTCCATGTCGCGCTAAATAGTGCTGACATAACCAGTTTTTCTGACTCTGCAGAGCCACATAATAATGTAATAATCAGGGATAATTAATGAAAAGCAACACCTTTCTGAACAGGGTTTTATTGTATGTATATGTAAATAATCTTTGTTTTGTTATTTTTTACAGCTAGTAATGGGCTGTTCTTAACTTCAGCATATATACAACTGACTTCAGCATATGTACAGCTGATCTGTTTACTTCTGAGAGTCACAGGATAACAGCATGTAATTTACAGCTGCTTATGTCTATTATTATATATGAAAGCATTTTGACTGTGTGCCAAGAGAGAACGAGGGAGAGAGAAATTTGCCTTTTAAGCAGAGTGGATATTTCAGCACCATGGACAGTGAACGACAATTTCATGCTTTCTTCACAAAGCAACCCTTTATTTCGGTGAGATAAATAATAAATTAGATTGGCATATCTGTGCGGTGTGCTATCATACAGTAGTGATCACTGGGAAAACATTCTGGGGTAAAAATGCTGCATTTCTTTATGGTGGAAATGTGTTTTTCTTTCTAAATCTATCTTAATTTAAGTGTTTTTAATTTTAAACTTTGAAACATATGATTCACCAGATTTCCATATTCGTTGTTGGTAACAACACAGGGCATTTCCTAGCATTGAACAAACACTGAACAATCGATTCAGTGCTGTAAACCATGTTTGTGTTCATACAGGCTTCTCTGTAGATCATGCTCAACACAAGCTGCATAATTAACACTGCAGTATTAGTGATGAATCCAGCAAATCTACAAAATATCTAATACAGTCTTAAAAATAAAGGTTTGTAAATGGTTCTTGGTTCGGACTTGCAGTTCTAGGAAGAACATTTAACTGGTATAGAACCTGAACATTTTATGGAGGTTCTTTAAACTTTAAAGGGCCCATATCATACATTTTTCTATGCACCAAAAACAGACATGTGTGTGCATCATTTCTTAACCAAAACATTGTATCTCCAAAACTTTACAGAAGAAGGAATAATATTCATAACTTTAAATGTAAACTAATGCAAAAAGAGTTTATTCTTAGCAATTTTGGAGCATTTCTATTGGTCCTTTCATTAACAACCTTTCACACATTGTAAAGGACAACTACACAAAATGGAGAAACAAGAGATACAAGGTTTTGTGCATGAATGGGCAACCCTAACTACTGTAGGCTGAATAGATGGAAATATATAACCAGTTTTATACACTGTTTTTTGTGACATCACAGAAACAAGGTTTTCAAAATGAGCTGTTTTGTAGCTTCATTCTAAAACATGGACTGCATGAACTGGAGAGTGAATATTAAGTTTTGAAACCTTAATATTGTTTACATATCTTTGCTATTGTAACAAGACCTCATATCTCCAAAATGGTAACTTTACAGGAAAAACATGCTCCTGTAATGGAAGGTAATGTGTAAAGAAGCAATTTTGGGTCATTCAGATTAGTCTGTTTATCATGAAATTTTAAGACAATGCAAAGGGTAACATGAGTTTTTTTAAATGATGCAAAAAAGGAAAAACAACAAAAATTGAGATACAAGGTTTTTACCCAACAGCCACAATATATTATCTGGAAAATTTCCCATGATATGGGCCCTTTAAAAGGTTTCTCATTAATAGAAGCGACTCTTTAACAAACCATCCTCTGAAAGTTTCTTTGTGAAAGTGGTTCCTCTGTGATACCACTCCAAAGAACCCTTTCTGTCACCTTTACTTTTAAGCGTGCATTTTAAAAACCATTCCAGTTGATTATGTAAGCTGGGTAGAGGTAACTGGCTCTTGCAGTCCATGAACAGTGTTCTCTGATGTTGGGCAGCTGCTGGAGCCCACCCATAGTCCAGAAGAGCTGGAGAATGTTTGGTTTAAGTTGCTTTGCGAGTACAAGGGATCCTGGAAGACGCCGTCTATCCAGTTTCTGAGACTGGACACTGCAGAGTCCTGCTGGCTTTCTGCCAAGTCTGAGTCTAAATGGCACTCGGCAGAGGATGACCTCACGCCTAGACCTTTGTGCATGCATGACGGGTAGTCAGCGTTGTTTAAAGAAGTGGCAGTCTGTGCTAGCGACCAGATTTTGGGCTTGGTCTCAGGCGTCTGTCCTTCTTGTCGAAGGTAGAAAGCCTTTGCAGGGTGGCTGCCATCAGCCGTCGATCCTAAGCAGGCTTTATCGAAACCAGGCGTCTCTGGAAGAGAGATGTGTAAGAGAGGCTCTCTGAAGCGATGACCCGTGCAGTCCTGTGAGCCTGGATGAGTGCTCACAGTAAACGACGCTTTAGGCTCGCACTCAGAGCTGTCGGATTCCGTTAGGTCCAAATCTTCCAAGTCGCTTTGTGGCAAATCTGCATCATCTGCTCTTGGGTTGTCTGAAATCAAGGAGCATGTTTTTGGTTTAAGAAACAAAGTGCATAGCATAGTTTTTCAAAACCTCAGTAACCTCCATAATATAATTTGCTGTGCTGAGAATGGTCCACCTCCCACATAATATCTGGTCTGTGGTGGTCCTACAGTGGTCCCTTTCCATTGACAGATTGGCTAGAGGGGGGCTGACAAACTGTACTGTAACAGATGGACCACCTTCAGTAGTTATACTTCTAAAAGGTCCATCTACACTCTTGAAAAGATATCATGAGGGGTTCTTTGAACGATGCCATGGAAGAACCACTTTAGTTCCCTAAAGAACCAAGAAATTTATGAGTGTGAAGAACATTTTTTAAGGTCTAAAGAACATATTGTAAACACTTTTTGAAGGTTTAGAAAAGCTTAGAAGTAATTTAGGGTTCCTTTCAGAACTTTCACATTGTGTGGACATTCCTTAAACTTAAAAAAGGTTCTTCACACACATCTCACTCACTCACTCACTCACTCACTCACTCACTCACTCACTCTCTTGTCTCATTTACAAAAAAAAAAGTTCCCTAAACAACCATTCATTCAAGGTTTTTAGGGAGTCAAAAGTGAGTTTTCTATGGCATTATGCAGAGAACCCTTTTTGGAACCGTTTTCTGTAAATGAAATTTCCCATTGTATGAGCCCTTTAAAAAGTTCTCCATCTACGTCTCATTTTAAATAAACAAAGTTCTTTAGGGAACCAAAAGTGAGTGACATCACTCCAGAGAACCCGTTTTGGCATCCATATATTTAGGAGTGCATCATTGAAAAACTTTCCACATTATTTAAGCAGTGCCGTCGAAGAACCACTTTTAGTTCTCTAAAGAACACTGTTTGAGATCTGTGAGTTTGAAAAACATTTTCAAGGTCTAAAGATCCTCCACATAATGTAAAGGTTCTTTGCCATTTTAAAAACATTTCCATTATAAGAATATTCTTTAAGCTTAACAAGATGCTTTACAATCACATCTTATCTACAAGAAAATGTTCTCTAAAGAACCATCTATTCAAGGTTTTTCAGGAAATCAACTGTGGTTCTATGATTTCATGCAAAAAAAAAAAAAAAGTTTTAAACCATTTTTGTAAATGAGTTATGTGAGTGTGAAGAACCTTTCACATAACCAAAGTTATGTACACTCTTAAAAGTGATGGTTCTTCAAGGGTACTTTAGTGAAGAAAATGGTTCTGGAGCCCTTTGCATTGTTAACAGGTTCTTTGCATCATGAAAGGGTTCTTCAGATTAATGGAGCATGTGCCTTATAGAACCTTTTTCAAAAAATTTCTATATAGAACCAATTACGGTACATCCATCCCATCCATCATCTAAACCGCTTATCCTTCTGGGTCGCGGTGGGGTGCTGGAGCCTATCCCAGCTGTCATTGGGCGGAAGGCAGGATACACCCTGGACAGGTCGCCAGTCCATCGCAGGGCAGACAGACACACACATTCACACCTAGGGGCAATTTAGCATGTCCAATCAGCCTGACAGCATGTTTTTGGACTGTGGGAGGAAACCGGAGTACCCGGAGGAAACCCACGCAGACACGGGGAGAACAGGCAAACTCAATTACGGTACATTCTCCATAAATCTGAAGGACCCTTTCATGATGCAAAGAACCCTTTAATCATGCAAAGGGTTCTTTGAGAGTTCATGGTTCTATATAGAACCATTACTAAAGAACCCTTGACGAATCATTATTTTGTGTGTGTACCAAGTTAATGTTCTTCATAGAATCTTTACAAATTGAGGAAGTTCATCAGATTTTACAAAGATACTTTGCACTCACACATGTCATTTTCTCTAAAGGTTCTCCAAAGGATCATGCGCTAAAATGTTTAAGAATAATGAATAGTGGTCTCTGGCTTTTGGTACAAGTTTCAGGTTCTAGGTCTGTCTAATGAACTGGCAACTCGTTTGTGCAAAATTGTAAAAATTCAAATGGTCAAACTGAGAGGAACTAGTCTTAGTCTACTACTAACAGTCTTATGGTTTATATCTGCTTATCAGAGATCAAATACAGGATTACCTACCATCAGACTCTTTCTCAGATTTGATGTTCTCCTCCTGCAACCCCTCAACATCGTCGCTGTCTTCATCGCAGCCTTTCTCGTCTGAGGTTTTGTTGCGTGGGGACCAAGTCATTTTGTTCTCCTTCTTGAGCCTCCTCCTGGCATTGGCAAACCAGGTGGACACCTGCGTGAGGGTCATTTTGGTGATAATGGCCAGCATAATCTTCTCGCCCTTGGTGGGGTACGGGTTCTTCTTGTGCTCCTGTAGCCACGCCTTCAGGGTGCTGGTGGTCTCTCTGGTGGCATTTTTCCTTCTTGTACTAACATCCATAGATCCGTACCTTGAAGGGGTGCATAGTTATGTAAGTGTAAGTGTGCAACTGCACGGTTTGGTGTTTTATGACATGCTTATATGCAAAGAGCCTCAATAAACCTGCTTGATGAGGACAAAATGTCCTTGCAATTATATTGTGATTCCTAAATATCTTGCAATATATTAAACTGCATTGGTGAATCAATGATGTTAAAAGATTGCCTGCATTATTCTGACCAGTATACAGCCCAAAATTTTGGGCACCGCTGGTCAAATGACATGTTTTGTTGATTTTCTAAGTGAAAATAAGTTAACACACCCTGAACTTAACATATTGACAGAAAAAATAAAACATAAAATGTGGCCTGTGCAAAAAGTATGGCACATTTAATAATTTATGTTTTTTCCTATATGTAAAACTCAGCAAATAAATACAAACTGTGCACTAAAATTTTCAAAAAATACATATTTAAGTGTGTTCCCTGTAGAGAATATGTTAACTTGTTTTTCATTTATAAAATAAACGAAACATTTAATTTAACTGGAGTGTTCCTTTACATACAACTTCACATACAACTGTCGTTTACTCTTGTTGTATTATATGAATATCCTAATTTATTAAAACAGTACTAACACTCATCTGCAACTATGATTGGTCACACAGTAAAAAGCATTCTTATTGCTTTTTTTTGCATTTGCAGCCTTGTGAGACATCAGTATTACACTATCGCAACAACAACAAGCAATATATTGTACAATCCTCTCACTTCCACAAATCTGATATCTTACCCATATCCTTCATACTGGTATTGTCCAAATGGATGATCACATGGGTAGTAAGATGGCCCTTGAGTGACCCTTCCATGTGCTGATCCTGTTCCATCTTTCTCACCAAGCTTGCCCTGTCCGCAAGAACATCACATTAAGCATGAGCACGAGCATGATCAGAACATGAACGCAAGCTTGACAGCATTTCAACACACACCACTCCCTCCACTTACACTGACACCAGAGTCTAAGATGGCCAGTGCCCTGTAAAGGACATTTCTGCCAATTTTTCAGAAAACAAAGTCGTTCAGAGTGGTCTGATGTGAAATGGTTCATTACAGAGACAATCACTGACTGATTTCTTTACAGTGGTGGTGATAGGAACCAGAGGTCACAAGGTCTACAACACAAATATAGCCATTTTATTTACTATCCAAAATGACCAGTGGACCTACATGTGTCTTCTATGTCGGGTTTTTATATGTAATATAAAAAATAAATGTAGGGACTATTTTGCCCTGCATGTATCTCTGCCATGTTTTTTGATGACCAAAGCTTCAAAACTATAATGAAGTCTCAGGCATCATCATATTCAAAATAATTTCATATAGTCATTTTCTGTGATGTAGCTTTAAGTGTTAAATGCTTCAGATGTCTGGTTCCTATCACCACCACTGTGAACGGGTCTGACTCTGTAAGTTTCTCTGGAATGGTACATTTTCACATCAAACTGCTCTGAATGACCTTGTTTACATCCATTTATTTATTTATGCAGAGGGCTGGAAAAATTAGTGGAGTTCCCCTCGAAAGTAAAGGAGCAAACAGCTGCTGAACAGTAGAAAGCAGCTTCTTTTACAGTCTCTTAAGTTCTAGGTATTAAGCAGGTAATTGAGAGGTACAAACGTCAAAGTACAAGGATTTATTTTAGGTAAAATGATGGGAAGTTCCAAGGCAGCCTGTCTAAATTACACTGAAATGCCAAATAGGTTCTAGGTCTTATTAGTATAATTAAATTGGTAAGTATTTTTTTTCTATTCAGGGTGGACAGGTAAATGCAAAATAGTTCCCAAAGACCACATTAGTTTTCAGATGTCCTATTATTTTCCCATCATCAACATTACATATAAAAACTATGACACATGTAGGTTCACTGATTGTTTTGGACAGTAAATAAAATGGCTATATTTGTGTTGTAGACATGGTGACCCCTGGTTCCTATCACCACCACTGTAAAGAAACCACTTCACATCAAACCACTCTGAATGACTTTGTTTACATCTCAATGATTGAATAAAACAGGGATTCTAAAAAATCTATTGAATTCCCCTTTAGGTTGAATAAGGATGTGGTAAAAAAATCTCATGATAGGATACCTCTTTGGAGTAGCCAGTCGTGAGTACAACAAACTTATACTTAATATTATTATAATGTCACAATCAGGAAAGTAACTGGAAAGTAAAAGGTAATAACAACAGTATGACTCATTGCTTTCTTTTACAGCTCAGGTTCAGTTTCCTTTAGATTTAGTTAGTAGATAACAGACAGGCACATACTCCATAAGGCCCTTATGTCTTTGTACTGCCTTTTACTCCATATAACCTGGTAGATTTTTCTTATTTATTTGACTGCTTATTACATACTAAGGCTTCATATTACGGGGACTTAAATGTAAACAGGTATTCATAGGTTATAGAAGTGTATAATAAAACTTTGCTCTTGCTGGTGGGTGCTGGCCATTTGTTAAATGTGTTACAGTGCAGTGTAATTTAGTCAGATTGTCTAGTTACTTACTATATTTGTACTTCGAATAACTATCTAGTAGTTTGGAGCCTGTACCTCACACTTGTTTAATATCTTGAGCTTTGGAGACTGTAAAGGAAAAAGTTACCATTTTCATATTTTACACTGCCTTATTCATGTTATTAAGCATCCTGTTGTCATGGAAGCTTACAGTCATATGAACATCCCTGGTTCATTTTCTATGTGAAAGTAAGTTAACACATCCTCTACAAGAAACACATGTAAACACATATGGCATTGTTCTGCAATTTTAAGTGCACAATTTCTATTTATTTGCTCATATTGTGGAAAAATATACATAAAAAATGTGCCATACATTTTTCACAGAACATATTTTAGTTTTATTTTTGATCCAATATGTTCAATTCAGCAAAGAAATAGTGATTATGTATTAAAACATGCACAAGTGTGTTCTCTGTAGAGGATGTGTTCACTTATTTTCCCTTAGAAAATCCACAAAACATGTCAGTTGACCAGGGGTGCCCAAACTTTTGCATACGACTGCATACAAGCCTCTTCATTCCATTCCTAGAGCTCCACTGCGCAGCACAGTTGCAAGATCTTGCTCCTACACACCTGATTCAACTAATAAAAGGCTTATTGATTAGCCAATGAGCTGCACCGGTGGTGTTGTAACTCTGGTGCTGAACATCCTGTCTGCCCTTTCACTGAAAAAACATTATCTGATTCAAATGTGTACATAATTTCTGCATAAATAAAATATACTAAATTACAGTAAAACTTAATCAAGAACTTTTTTCAGTATATATGAAAACAGCTCAAATAAAATGCGCACCAGAGAATAGAGAGAAGTCGAATCCGTCCCGTATGAACTGTAAGTCCCATAGCTGTGGTTTTTCCCATAAGTAGAGTTCAGGTCATGCCTTGCGGAGGCCACCAGCCTCCTCTCGTACATCGGACAGTAAAGAGAGCTCTGGGTGGAGGCTACTACTCCAGCGTCTAATGAAGAGCCGCTGCCAGACTCATAGCATGCACCCAAAGCGTTGGAGGACCACAGGAGCTGTAGGAGTAGATAAATAAGATCAGATTTCTCCAAGCTGGTCCTGGAGGCTGTCTGAAGCAAAGCATAGAAGAACCAGCTTTGCTTTCCTAAACGACCTTTTAGTAGATTGATGACTGCTTAAAGAACCATTTTAGTACGGGAGAATGTGAAGAACGTTTTTAAATTTGAAAGAATTTCCAAAAGAACCTTAAATTGGTGCAGAACATTTTCATTTTTAAAAGGCTTAAAAGGTTCTTGACACTCACAAATTAATTCCCATATAAACTGACTCAGAAGTTACAATGAGGCTGAAGTTGGATCTTATTTGCCAGCATCTTGTTAGAATTTTCCATTCCACCTTAAACAGTGCAGCAGTTACGTTCACTTACATTTAAGGTGGAACATAAAATTTGAATTAGAACCTGGTGAATAAGAAGCTTCATATCATATTTGTCTGCACATCCTTTGCTGTTTATGTTATGATTTTTTAATGTGTTGGAAAAGACTGTAAAATCTTTTAAATATTACTCAAACAGCTCATCAAACGTAATGTTTACATCACACAACAGAAAATAACAACAGATAAAATAAATATCTTAATAACATATATAAAAACAATAAAAAGTTATTTTATCCTTAATAAAATAATAATAATTGTCTGGCATTTTGAGTGCATTGTAACTCTAATAGTAACTGAAATGTTTGAAATACAGAATTACTGAATCAAAACCAAAGCTGAATTGACCACAGAGTCCAAATAAGTCCAAATAATGCACAAAAGTATAGAATTATATCCATATATTTTCCCCAGTGTACTTACCTGAGGAGCTGCTGAATAGGAGTAGCCAAACTGCGTGTATGACATGGTTAAGATGAAAGTCCAGCAAGGAGGAGAAAACGCATCTCAAAGCAGAAAGTCGCGCTGAGGGTCATCAGTTCATCTGCTGCGATCTTCTTACAAATGCAGGTGAATCTGCTTCAGCAGCGTCAGGTTTTTTTCCCACCCGTATTCAGACAGGCCCCGCCCGCTACGCAGGAATTGGCTAGAGCATCCTGGCTCCTGCGCTGTGATTGGCGAGTAGTTTACTCTCGCAGGAGTTCATTGAGTATAAACTGCTAGCTAATTCTAACGAAAGTGGGCGTGCCCGAAAACGGGTGGGGAAAGAAATAAACAGCGCACTCCATTTAGTCCAGTCTTGTTCCTGCCTTCTCGCTTTAAAATAAGGACTCAAAGTAGCAATGCAAAGGAATTTTAACCCACACCTCTCTGTTATAAAATGCAGTACAATAAAAGGAATTAAATAAATAAACAAATAAATATACTTGTTTTTGTGATCTTTATGTTCTGATCTTAATGTTTTGTTCTATATATTATATATTGTGAAGATTATATGTATTTTGCATGTATGTATTTTTATCTATTTATTCATAAATCTCTCTCTCTCTCTCTCTCTCTATATATATATATATATATATATATATATATATATATATATATATATATATATACACGTTATATATATATATATATATATATATATATATATATATATATATATATACTTTCTTACTACATCAAAAATTATTAATTGCATCAGCTGCCGTTCTTCCCAAAGTTTCCAAAATACAAATCAACTTAGAAGGTAATAAAATGCAAATTCAAATCAACTTAAGAAGTAATCATTTCAAAATTTTGAATGTATATTTTAAATTTGCTTAATGTTTAAGAATTGAGCACAAAACAATAAGCGCGGTCCTGTCCCGCTTCTTCAAATGCTCTTTTGCTTTAGAGAGTCCTGTAGCAGAGCCTCAGGCTCCCTCTCATTAATGAGGACGTGTTCACTTCAACACCTGCCTGCTAGCACATACTTCACACACAGCTCGCCTGCACATGATTGATGACCACTGAGAGACGATTAGCATAATTGCTTTGCTCTGTACTTTCAGACACTTGACTACAATTAAACAGCATTGTGAGGGTGGGGTCGGGGACACAAGAAAGAGCTTCATTACACATTTACTGGGATGAACTGTTCTTAAACAAACACCTCAAAGACAGCGCAGGTAAACACTGATGAATGATCTAGACTGAAGCTCAGTTTATGATTGAGTATAAGCATTAAGCTTGAATTATGACTGTAATGAGGGATAACAAAGGCACTGTCAGAACAGCGGAGTCCAATGCTGTCTTCAAGCGCTGACTGAAGACCCAATTCTTCATCAAACAATTAAATGAACACTAATCTAGCCCTTAATGTCTAAATGCCATAAATGTCAATTATGGTATTCAGCAAACAGTAGCTATACTAATATAACTCTCAGGTACCACGGAAGCACTCTGACAATGTTCAGACGGATAAGCATTATCAGAAGATTGAGGCAGGATGAAAGTCATTACATTACAATCAAAGATTACGGAAAATGGGAATTTTGTCTTTTAAATGTCATGATATGATAAACTGTGCTTAAGTTGACCAGGAACATGAACTAACAAGGTAGATAAATTTTGGCTTCAGGTTGACTCTAATGTGTTCATATCCTACATTTTTCTTGCATTTAATATTTTTCCTTAAGGTCCACATTTTTGAGGTTTTGTGTACCAAAAACAATCATAATCAACTTGTACATGATCATTTCCAAACTCTCTTAGGCCCTTACACTGAAATAAAGGTTCTGTGCAGGTACGTTTTTTTAGTTCATCAAGGTACAAACAATGTAAATGTTCCCTCAAAGGTACAACAGTGGTTTTAAGGTCCAATTGTGAACCTTAAATAAGTAATAAATACGTATTTGTACCTTTTCATAACCTAATGCTTTAGACGGGGTGTGTGGAGTCAATTACACTTATATATATATATTATAATTTCAGTAAATTATGTTTCCTGACTAAAGGTACTGAGATGTACCCTTGAGGGTACCAACACAGTGACAAGTCGGGCACTGCCCCAGTGACAGTTTACTACCTTCTTTTCCGAGAGTGTAGAATCAAACAGGCCATTTTATTACTGTGCCTTTAAGACACAGTCTTAAAGAGTATATGTACATGAGCTCTGTTCTGACTGGCCGCCCTGTATTGTGACTCATTCAAAAAATAATTCAGGCTAAAACTCTCTTTATAATTATAATGAGAGTGGGTGGGGCTAAACTGCTACAGACCAAATGGGTAGAAAGGTGCTGGTTTTTGTGACTTCACAGATTCAGTGAATTCACAACAAGCTGTTTTTTGCAGCTTATTCTCCATAGATGGAATATGAATTTTAAAACATTAGCAATGTTTACATACTACAACAAACTCTTTTATCACAAATAGTAAAGAAAACCCAGTGTTCCATTATATGTGCCTTTTAATGTTACATCCCACACAGACATCATTAATCAATAAGACATGATTTAAGGAAAAATAACACAACTGTAATCCCTTTTTTTCCGTTTTTCACTCCTTTTTTAATATGCCACATTTGCTAAAGTGTATTTTAGGTGTATTTTGCACTGAATAAATCCTTTATCACTCGCACTCTAAAGTATCCTAAGTTCATCTTTCAGGATGAAGACGTACCTGAGATGCCAGCTGACATCTTTGCAGCTGGAAGCGCTTTCTCACCGTTGCGGCTAAGAGGTTTGGCATGTTACAGTTCACTTAATATCCATAATTGATGAAGAGGTTTCGGTGCATTTACTCAACACTTAGTTCCTGAGCTTCAGGAGCTCCACCAGACTCTTCATTAGAGATGGAAACACAGATAAACGTGCCCCTCGCTGCAAGCTATAACCTCTAACCTTGTGTTTTCACTCTTGTTTGTTCAGATTTTAACGTGTGTAACACTCATATCAGTTTTTCTAAGTGCTAGATACAGCACCCATGTTTCACATCCTTGTGTTTTCCCCACTGGATCGTCTTTTTTTTACTTGCTGTGCTTTCTGTATTTTGAGATTAAAACAGCTTTTAGCCTCTGAGATAAGCAAAATTCAACTTCATATGCATTTATCATACATATTATATCATTACGTACCCTTTCGTGTTCCATGTTTTCTCAGTGTTTTTCTGTGTTTTATCCACTCTATCATACATCACAACAATGTATTCATTATCTTCTAATGCTTCGTTGTATTATTAAAAGTGACTTCCACCAGTTTTTGTTTTGATTTTTTTTTTTTCAAATTTTGAGATAAGATTTTGGATCAAATTAAAACAATAATAATAATAATAATAATAATACATCCATATATATATATATATATATATATATATATATATATATATATATATATATACATATATTCATGGCTGACAGATACATGCAAGTTGTTGTAAGGCAAAATAGTCAAAAGATTTTTTTTTCCAGGTTTATTGCTATTTTACCATCAATATTACATATAAAAACACGCATAAAAAGAAGACACATGCAGTTTGTGTTATTGTGACCCCTGGTTCCTATCACCACCACTGTAAAGGAATCCAGGTTTCTCTAGAATAGATCACTTCACAGACCAGTCTGAATGTGTTTACATCTCCACTGTTAAATTATGTGGAAATTCTGAAAAATTGCTTGAATTCCTCTTCGAATGGCACATTCTGTGAACTAACTGCTGCTTTATTACACTGCCAATCAAGCATGAAGAACTAAGAGCTCCCAAATAGTAAAACCAACTAAGCATTGGCCCTGTCATTCGCAAGTTCAATCCCTGTTGATGCCACAGCTGTGCGTGGTCAGGAGTCCAAGAGATCTGTGGCTGAAACTCCATTTTCCTTCAAGCGTATTGAGCTGTCCAATGACATTGTATTCGAGGAAGGTTAACTTGGACATGACTACATTGGGGGAAAAATGGGGCAAAATGCCCCCCAAAAAACAAAAACAAACAAACAAACAAAAAATTTATGAACAAATAACATGAGGACCTATTAGTGCAAAGATCCCTGATTTATTACACTACCAATCAAGCATGAAGAACAAAGAGCTCCCGAATAGTACAACCAACTAAGCATTGGCCCTGTCGTTCGCAAGTTCGATCCCTGGTTCCTATCAGCACCACTGTTAAGGAATCCAAGTTTCTCTAGAATGGATCATTTCACAGACCAGTCTGAATGACTGACATCTCAACCGTTAAATTATGTGGAAAGTTTGAAAGATTGCTGTAATTCCTCTTCAAATTGCACATTCTGTAAATGATTTCTCTCTGCCTTGGGTACAACGTCAGTATAGAGGGACATTATAATGTTGTTGTAATGAATTAATTAAGCTTTATTTAGTAGCTGGTGATTAACTGGCTGCTCATTACAACTTTAGTGGTATTAGATAGCATTATCTTTTGCAGATTACTTCACGTTATATAATATTTTAATTGCACATTATTGATATGAAGATATCTAACTCGTGCTTTTCACACAGTCTGATGAGCCTCAATCTAATAAGATATTGACTATAAGCTCCATTAATAAAGGGAGTTCACGCAGACCCTGTTTTAAACAAAAAAAACCTATTGATCAGAAGTTGCACCTTCTTGGTAAACATTAACTAGAAATCATTACTGTAGAATAGAGGGTCAGTTTGTCTTTATTTATCGCTAATTGGTATATAATATGACTGAGGAATTTATATGAGTCAAAAGAAAATAAGAAAATGAAAGAAATAAATGCTCTGGAAAATGCCTAATTCACCAAAAAAGCTGAATACGCCATAGCTACTGTTTCATAAAGTAGTAATAGGCAGAAAGTAAGAGCAGATCACTTTAAAACAGTTTTCAGCCTAATTGTATGAGAAAAAAAAATAATGCACACCCTCTTCATTGCTTTGATATCCTCACAGCTTTCAGTGTGCCCTTAATAGAACATGAACTGCATTTTAACTTGCTATTATTAATTAATGA